AGCCAACGGGCGCTGAGCCCGGCCCGCCGTCTCTGCTCTCCCCACACGCAGGAGCACGAGTATGTTTGACATGCGGTGTGAGGAGGAGGCCGCGGTGCAGCCGCACAGCAGGGCCCGCCAGGAGCAGCTGCAACTGATAAACAGCCAGCTGCGGGAAGAAGACGACAAGTGGCAGGACGTGAGTGCCGGCCAAGGCCCTTGGGAGCAGAAAATCCGGGGGGGTGGGCAGAGCTAGATTGGAAAGGGAGCCCCGAGGGGACCTCAGGCAGTGGCATGGCACAAGTGGGAATTAAAGGAAGGTTCATAGCAACGTGAAGGGTGGGGGGTGAATGACAGGAGGTGGGGAGCCGCCGGAAGCAACTGGCAGGAGATGAAGAATTGAGGAGGCACCGTCTTTTGAGATGATGTATTTGAAATTAATAATGATGATCACTGCCCACATGGAAAGCACACCAGTAACGGGAACTATTCTAAGTGCCTTGCGTGTAATTCTTTGAGCCCCTCAGTAACTAAATGAGCTGGCACCTGTAACCGTCCTCAGTTCGGCAGATGAGTCCCAGAACAGCTAAGTGACTTGCCCAGAGTCACACGACTAGTGAGTGAGAGAGCTGGGGAAAGAAGGCTCCTGAGCCTGATGCGGGACTTGAGATTGTCTGAGCTGAGAGCCAAGAGCCCGCTCAGGGAAGAGCTTGAGGATGCGGGTGAGCGGAGGGAGAGTCGAGCATTTCGTTGAATCGCCGCAGAGCTCTCCTGTACAGCAGTTGCAAACTTGACTCTACCATTAGTCAAAAAGTTAACTTACCCAAAGTCGATTATGTGTCACAGTAATTATGTCTACAGTGTACTGAGCATATACTATGTGCCCGGGACCTTATATCATCATCTCTGTTGTAGAGATGAAGAATCCGAGGTTCAGAGAGGCTGAGAAACGTGCCTGGGATTCCAGAGCACGGAAGAGAGAGAGCTGGGATCATTTCCCGAGCTGCCGTCCCACCCATCTGACTCCAGAACCCTAACTTCATCCTTACGCTCTAACTGCCTGCAGGATTTGTAAAGATCAGAGGCATTAATACATACAGAATCATCGGTTCTGTGAGACCCCAAAGCCAATTTTTTTTCCTGCCTTTTCTTCCTTCCCTGAGGGCATTGTGTAGGGTTGTGGTTTAATTCTTACCATTGTATTGTCAACAAATCCACTCACAGGGCAGAAGTCATAAATAACAAGAAGTGACGTTTCATACAATCCCCTGCAAGGCAATGCTTTAAAATTTGGCAACCGACATGGACTGTGATTGCAGCTTTCACATTGCCATGTTTAAATAAATGTGCCGCCCTGCCCTGGTGGCCTGTCTGCCTTTGGGCCATTCCTGTTCCAACCAGACTGCCACTGGGTAGGGGCGATGCCCCAGCATGGTGCCTGGCCCGTCGTCAGGGCTCGCCAGCTCGGGAGAGTGGCAGTGCAATCATGTGAAAGCCTGACAAATATGTTCTGTCCGCCCCCACAGGACCTGGCTCGGTGGAAGAGCCGTAGAAGAAGTGCTTCTCAGGACTTAATCAAGAAAGAAGAAGAAAGGAAAAAAATGGAGAAATTAATGGCCGGGGAGGATGGGACAAGTGAACGAAGGAAAAGCATCAAAACCTACAGAGAAATTGTTCAAGAAAAGTGGGTGCTTTCTGTTGTTTAATGTACAATATTTTTTAGATGTGCTTTTTCTAAAAATTATTGGTTATCACAGAGGCTCTGACGCCAGTGTTATCCACTCCCTGTGCTGTCCCCTCAGCTCTGCCTTGGTTCCTCCCAGGGTCTTCTTTGCAGTGTTTGTGACGTGTTGACCTTGGTATTGCTTCTCTCCCCCATGCCTGTGCTTTAGAGAGCGGCGAGAGAGGGAGCTGCATGAGGCTTACAAGAACGCACGGTCCCAGGAGGAGGCGCAGGGGATCCTTCAGCAGTACATCGAGAGGTTCACCATCAGCGAGGCTGTTCTCGAACGCTTGGAGATGCCAAAAATCCTGGAAAGAAGCCATTCAACAGAGCCAAACTTATCCCCCTTCCTGAACGACCCCAACCCCATGAAATACCTGCGGCAGCAGTCACTGCCTCCACCCAAATTCACTGCCACTGTGGAAACCACCATCGCTCGTACCAGCGTTCTGGATACCAGCATGTCAGCAGGCAGTGGGTCTCCGAGCAAAACTGTCACCCCCAAAGCAGTGCCTATGCTGACACCCAAGCCTTACTCCCAGCCCAAAAACTCTCAAGAGGTTCTGAAGACCTTTAAGGTAGGGTGAGTTCCTTAAGAGCAGAACCAAAACTGAACTCCAGGTAGTTGATGGAAAAAAGCATCTGCCCCAAGAAAATGCAGTTATTTTCTTTTGTCTGCAAAAGAAAATGCAAACAGTAGCAAAATGCATTAACATTTACAATTTCGAAGTTTATGTGTCTCCAAGACTTGGTTTGCAAATGGTTAGGAAGAGATGGTTCCCCTCAGTTCCTGCAGGTAATATTGATGGGCTCCAATGAGATTAATGGGTGAGTCATTTGCATGAGCAAAGTCTATTTTCTAATTTGATATAATAATGGCACAAACCCTAATTTAGTAACACCCTAGTTATCTCCAACTATCTGGAGGTGTTGCAAACTCTTTAAAACAAAACTTTAATTGCCTTAGTTAAATAGAAGTGTATACGGCTACCTCTCTTTTAGGAAATAATTGACATTATATCCAAAAAGATGGCAACAGGCGAAACCGAAAATATAGGGAGCAGGCCCCTGGCTGGGTAGCTCATTTAGTTAGAGCATCACCCCAATACACCAAGGTTGCAGGTTCGATCCCCAATCAGGGCACATACAAGAAACAACCAATGAATGCAGAAATAAGTGAAATAACAAATCTCTCTCACTTGCAAATCAGTAAAAATACAGAGGCCCTGACCAGGGGGCTCAGTTGGTTGAGGCATTGTCCTTTACACCCAAAGGTTGCGTGTTCGATTCCTGGTCAGGGCACATACCTAGGTTGTAGGTTTGACCCTCAGTCAGGGTATGTACAGGAGGCAACCAGTTGATGTTTCTCTCTCACATCGATGTTTGTCTGTCTTGCTCTCGCTCTGTCTTTTCTTCCCTCTCTTCTCTCTCTCTCCCTCCCATCTTCTCTAAAATCAATTAAAAATTTTTAAAAGAAACACAGGGAACACATGGAACTATGAGATGTCCTTAGTCTTCGAATGAAACAGATTTTTGAAATATTTTAAGTGGGAAGAAACTAGATTGGTTTTTACCAATGAATATGTAAAATAATGTTCCATAACCAAAGAACCCCTGACAAGGAAACATCTTTTCACTTTCTCAAATTCCAGTGTTTTCCCTCACATCAGGAGGAGGCACTCATCCTTTGTCTTAAGCTCTGTTGACTACAAAGAAAAATCAGTTCTCACTGTCCCTGCACACCACATGGGTTGGTAATAGAAGACAGAGGTGGAATTCATCACTAGCAGGCACGGACATGTGACTGTAAAGAAAGTTTGCTCAACCAAACTAATTGAGCAATGTGATGCCTGCTGTCTTCCTATTGAATTTCAGAGGGAACCAAACCACACTTCCTGAGTTTTGCTTAAATAACTCTTTAAAGAATGTGTCTTTAAAATTTGTGCCTTAGGCTTTGATAAAACAAAAGAAAAATGTGGAATCTGTCTCATCTGGGTTGAATTGAGATGTTTGTCCCTTGAGGGGCCGGGGCTGTGTCTTTGTTGTTCATAACTTTGTCCTGAGAGCCTGGCATAGGTGCCCAGCACACAGTAGGCACTTGGCAAGTGTTTATTGAATAAATACGTGAATTTTTCCTGAGAAGATGAGCTCTTCATCACACAGATTCGCACATGCACAGATATGCACATGCCCCTGCATGCTCGGCAGCTCACCAAGCTCTGCCCAGCTCTCCTGCACCTGGGACCCCCTGCGATGAACTGTCTGCAATATTTCATGAAGAAAGGTTTGATGTTGAAGTGACTCAGAACAAGAGTAGGGAATGCAGTTATTTAACTTGTTATCAAAGGCATCTGATCAGATAATCTAGATGTCCGCTTCCCCTCATTTATATAAACAGTGCAGTATAATCATTTAAACAGAAGAATCAGGGTAGATGACTTCATGGCAAGACTTTGGCCCTGAGAAAACCCAGTTCCTTCCCACTGTGGCAAGATGGCATAGGGGCCTGAGGAAGAGCATTCATGGAGAGGTGGACCGAGTGACTTGATTAGAGATCCTTCTAAAGCTGGGGCTCACTCTGGACCACCAGTGAGCCCTTGGCGCATCATAGGCCTTGGAAGCCTCCAGCCTTATCCACAGCCCCACTACTGAGTGGGTGGGCCCACTTGTGGTCAAGGGTAAATAAACAGCTGTTAACAGATAATCCCAGGACAGAAGCTAAGGGTTGCGTGTGTGGGGGCGGTGAAAGGGGGTGGGGGGTTCCGGAGGGAGTCAGGGAAAACAGGCTCAGTTTCCGAGTACAACAGAATTCAGAGTAAAGGAAGATCAAGTGAAATAGTTTAAGGCGGTGTTTTTCAATCTGAGAGGTCCCACCTGTTCCTAGGTTATGGAATCAATTTAATGGTTTGGAATCAACATTTTTTAAAAATGAAGTAGAATAGAATACAATAAAGAAAAATACCTACCATATCACGCACAATAAAGGTAAATATTGTTTTACAAAACTCTGGTTTCAGTTATATTTGTGTGTGCTGAGTTGTGATTTAAATTTCTTATGGATTACAAGTAATAGAGTATGCAAGCCACTGGCTTAGGTTAATACAGAATAACTAACATCTGGCCTTCCACTGTTTCTTCTGAAATATTTTAGAAGGTCTAGTAATATTAATAACTACTATTTACACACTTAAAATTGGCCAGGTACTGTTCTAAACTCTATATTAATCCATAAAATCACCATAATAGCACTGTCAAGGAGATACTATTATAAGTTCTGCAGCTGAGGGACTGAGGTTGAAGATGATATGGCTAATAGGTTGCAGAACTCAATCCGAGGCCCTCAAACTACAGAGCTTCCTCTTACGGTCATTTTGCACATTGCCTCAAGCTTCAAGACAGAGATTTCCAGAGGCCTTTCAACAAGCCAGACCAACCACACACTCTGCTCCTTCTTTCTTGCTTTCACTGCCTTCCCTAGACATGGGTGTAAAACAAAAATATTTTAATGTGCATGGCCTTTTTTCTTGAAAAAAACTGGGATTATAAAATTAACTAGAAGTAGGGATTTACTGTAACATAGCAAGCGTCAGTTTCCCTGCCATCCATGATCATGTCAAAAGAGTACCCGTTTTCCCTCCTCCCACAGGATAACCTGTAAAATAGTCCTGATCCAAGGTGGGTTCTACCTCATTTATATGCTAACCAGTAAAGAAAACCCTCAAAATTATGGCATAACAGTCAGAAATTAAATGAACCATTACTGAACCCAAATATGTGGCATGTATTTGTACATTTCCTTGATTTTCTTTAAAATAAAAGTATACCCTAAGTAAGGTGAACGTAAAATATAATTTAATGTGAAGTGGCCTGAGAAGACAGAATGCCTTTTAAAGAGACCCTCAAAGCCCTGAATGCTTTGGCTCAGCAGTTAGAGCATCCCGAGGACCAAAGGGTAGCGGGTTCGATTGCCAGTCAAGGGCACATACCTCAGCTGCAGGCTCAATCCCAGGCCCCAATTGGGGCATAAGCCAGAGGCAACAAATCAATGTGTCTCTCTCAAATCAATGTTTCTCTCTCTCTCTCTTCCTCCCTCTCTCTCCCCCCCACTCTCTCTAAAAAAAATCAGTGGAAAAAATATCCTCAGGTGAGAATTGAAAAAAGAGAGACCCTCAAAGATAACAGTTATAGGAGCCCTAATTTCTAGAACCAATTGAAGCATATAAGAGATGTTATTCTTTGCTGGACTTTGATTCTCAAATGATAATGTTTTAAGGCGATTCTGAATGTGTTATTTTATTATAGTCTTTCTTTGAGTCATAGCATGTGTTTTGTTCATTCTGGTTTCTATAGGTAGACGGGAAAGTCAGCATGAATGGAGAAACAGTTCATGGTGATGAGGCAGAAAAGGAAAGCGAGTGTCCCACGGATGCACTTGCCCCCCCATTAACCAAATCCCAGATGTTCGAAGGTGTGGCCAGAGGGAATGGGTCCCTAGTGGAACAGAAACAAGACAGCAATAGCATTGAGATCAGCATACAGAAGCCAAATTCTGTTCCCCAGGAACTGACGGTAAGAACCAAACTTCTTTTTCCTCTTTGGGATAATTCCATTGTGAATGAATCTGCTTTAAATAATGAGTAGGTCTTGATAACAACCATTTATTCCTATGTGGGTTTATTTGCTAGGGCTGCCCTAACAAAGTACCACAAACCGAGTGGCTTAACAGAAATTCATTGTCTTAGAGCCCTGCCGGCTAGAAGTCCAAAATCAAGGTGGCAGCAGAGTTGGTTCCTTCTGTTGGCTGCGAGGGAGAACCTGCTCCATGCCTCCCTGCTGGCTTCTGTGGTTGCTGGCAACCTCTGGCATCCCTTGGCTTGTAGACTCATCACTTGACCTCTGGCTTCATCTTCCCGTGGTGCTCTCCCTGTGTGCATGGCTGTGTCCAAATCTCTTTTTTATAAGGACACCCATCGTACTAGATTAGGGGCCCACCCTATGGACCTCATCCTAATGAATTACACCTGCAACAGCCCTATTTTCAAATAATATCACATTCTGAGGGGCTAGGTAGGGGTTTATGACTTCAACATATGAATTCGGAGTCGGGGGAGAAACACAATTCAGTTCTAACAGTGGGTATAATAGACTGTGTCATATAAATTATGAATAAGAAAAACTTTTTTTGTCTTCACATTATTGGTATCTAGTGTTGTAGAAAAATAAATAAACCCCTCAAAAACCTTTTTTTTCTGTTTGTTCAGGACCTCATCAGACTTGTTAATACAATTTGAAAATAACTGCTGCCATCAGAACCTGGCTTCCCATCCTTGATAATATGTATAAAAGGGCAGCTTTTTACTAATTATAAAAACAAAAGCTCATTCAAAATCAAACTAAATTCAGAGTAAGTAGAAGCACCATTGAATGGCCAACCTGAGAAGTGTAGGATAACTCAAGAGCAGCAGAAAACAAAAAAGAACATTATATTTGCCGCTTTGGAGCATAAAACACCATCGGGAAGATTCCGAGTTCTTAGATATCACACCAGCAAGGCTCCTGCTGATCACACCCAAACTTTCACCACCACAGATGCAGCCCGGCTTTCAGGGTGCGAGCTGAACTCTGTTCAACCCCATTTGTTCTCACCAGAGGCTGATGTCTGCAGTTTTAATTTATAGCATTTGGGCTGGAATTCTAAAGGATGGGGAAAACTGTCATGATTTTTCCCGCAGCACCTAGAAAGGTTTGGTCCCGAGGAAAACTTGTCTCCTAGCTCCAGGGCTGAGTGAGATGACCCAGCTAACTAAACCCACCCCGTGGACTGGATGCTCTTTTTCTTATCTCTGGGATTTGTCTTCTGAAGAATAAAATATGTTTTCTTAGAGGAGCTGAAAGGATGTAATTCTTCCCCGTAGAGCTCAAGCCCTATGAGTTTCAGGTTGGAATGGACCAGATTAATTTCCTCACCATGGTAACATGGTCGCTGGTCTCCAGGAGCAGGGTTTTGGGATCCAGGCAAATGCTGAGTCTCTTGACCTGGAATTTCATTAGATTTTTCATGTGCATGTTACCCTGTCTGAAGAGTTCTTACAAATCATCATGAGATGAAATACTGAGTTCTCCTAGTAAGCATGGGAACTTTGCTGGTAGAGTCAACATTAACTTAGGCTCTTAATTTTTTTTTTTTTTAATATGTTTTTATTGATTTTAGAAAGAGGCAGGGAGAGTGGGAGAGGGAGAAACATTTATGTAAGAGAGAAACACATCGGTTTTGCCTCTTGCATGGCCCCTACTGGGGATCAAGCCAAACCCAGACATGTGCCCTAACTGGGAATCAAACCTGCAACCTTTTTGGTGCACTGGACGACACCCAACCAACTGTGCTACACTGTCCGGGGTGACTTATGCTCTTAAATTTAAATTAGAAGTTCCTGAAATTAATTAGACATTACAGTGTTGGATTTGCTTTTCTGGGAAAGTTAGTAATTCTGTTCTTACTTCTCTCCTGCCACACTTCCTGATGAGTGTTTTCTAAGTCCCCCTCATAAACCTTTTTCCATTCCTCAATTTGGTTACTCTCTCAGGCCGCAGGCCCTTTGCACAAAGTGTTGAGCACAGCTCTTTCTCAGTGTACTTTGGGAAAGCAACAGTGTGGGTGCCATGCTTGTCCCGTGACATTTGCCACATCGTAGATACATGGGGCTTACTCAGGCCAGCAGATTACTTATGGGAGCACATCCTAAGGGCTCTGCTGACAGGCGGGTATTCTCTCCCTCTCACAGCTCTGCCCTCTGACCATTGTGTTGTTTGAGTTTGGAGAAAGCCTTGCCCCTGGTTGAATAGATTTTATTCCTGACAGAAGTTCAAGGAATAAGTGAACAGAGCAGATAGTATAAGGCCTAAACTTTCTATTTAATCTCTCTTGTTCTAAACTTTTAACCCTTTGCGGGGAAAGGCTTTACGGAGACCGATGGCATGAAGTGCAGGACTCTTAAAAGAGTAGAAAAGGGGGTATTTATTCTGTGTTTGTTTTTGGAGTAGTAAAGGCTCCCTTTAAAAATATGTTCATTCTCAATAATTACTGGTTTTCTTATTTTATGATGATCAAAATAAAAAGAACATTGTCTGTTCTCTTTTTAATGCAAGGTGTCCACTTCAACCATGGTTGTGCTGCTAAACTCCCTAAAGGTGAAGAGAGGATGGGTTGAAAGATTTCAGATTGACTGCATAGCCCCAAAACATCTTATTTTAAGAGAAGCAAACTTAGGTGATCTGAAGAAAATTAGATTATTTCAGAAGTTCATATAGTATAACAATGAAAACCCAAACAAAAAGGTGGCTTTGTGAACCTTCCCCTGGAAAGCAGCCTGATGCTGGCGGACTCGGACGCACGTCCAAATTAATGGACAGGCCAGCGAGTCTCTCCTCTGTGTGTTTCTTTGGGAAAACTGCCCAGTTTGGAGTAATTTCTAGTTTAATAAACTAGCAGTTCCAAAGGTCATTTTTTACCCTGTCCCTAGTATATTTTAGGCCCTTAACTATGACAGGGACTCTCGCCTTATTTTCCATGTAATAACTACCTCTGTGTATCTATTAGACTATAAGGCAAGCTGCTAGCTGTGCTACATGAAATTTGGCTCATTAGTAAAACACTCTTCATACTTGACACCAGTAGTTTCCCATCCAGAATGTGTTGTCCCAAGAGCCATTCTCAAAGAATCTCTTCTCCAGTCAGCCTACTGCTCATTGTATTTCCTTCTCCATACTGCAAGAAAAGCATTCTTGACTGCGTTACAGCCAGTTTATTCTTACTGAGACGGGAGAATTAATTGGTGATGGCAAAACACAGTGACCAACTTGCCCGGCCGGGCGTGGCTCAGCGGTTGAGCGTCAACCTGGGATCCAGGCAATCGGGGTTCGATTCCCGGTCAGGGCACATGCCCGGGTTGCGGGCTGCAGCTGATCAATGACTCTCTCATCATTGATGTTTCTATCTCTCTCTCTCCCCCTCCTTTCCTCTCTCTGAAATCAATAAAGATATATATAAAAAAAATTTTTTTAAAAAAAACACAGTGACCAACTTAAAACATGGGGCTGTACCTCAGAGCCTGCCTGGGCCTGATACCAGCTTGGTCCTGGTTTGCTGTTTCTAACTCATTTGCCCCATTCTGTGGGGCTGTCAAAGGAATAGTGTTCTTCTTTTTAAATAGTGTCTTTCTTCCAAAAACTGCATTCCCGACAGATACACTTTTTACACCCACCACTAAAATGTCACAGTTCCTTCAGGGTGAGCTGGAACTAGTCAGAGGGCACAGCAGCAGTAGGCAGGGGCGTGAATTGAGACAGTGCTGCAGGGAAGGGTGGCCCAAGACTCCAGGGGGACAGGAGGAGGCTGGAGTGTCAGCCTCTTGTGCCAACACAACCACTTCTGTGCAACGTTATGTCATCTCTTCAGTCTCCTTCTACCTCCTCTTTCTCATTGGAAACTCTTGGGACCACAGCTTTCTTACTTTAGAAATAGGTCCTAAATGAAGTTAAGCTTGCTATCATTATTATTTTTGATGTTCTGCTATATCTACTGACACCAGCAACTCCAGATCTTCCTCCATGGAATCATCTCTAAGTGATGAGGTGGTGATGGCAGTGACCTTGCCAATGGTTGCCTGTTCACTGATGAGCAGGAATTAAGGACCTATTCTGTGCCCCATTTTTGCAATAGAAAAAGAAATTCATAAACTTGCTGGGAAAGCAGTTTTCATAAAGCAATTAGGAAAGTATATAAAACTAGATCTAATTAAATGCAAGGTAATAGGGTCAAAAGTCTAGAAGGAATGTAAGATTGCAAAGAATGGGTAAGATCCTTATGGTTGGGGTTAGTCAGGAAAGTCTTGTGTGGGATGTGGATTTTGAAACTTGACCTTATGTGCAGGATTTGCATTGAAATGGAGGAGGGAAGCAGGCCATTCCACATGCTGGGAATATTCCCCTATTCCCATATTCCACATGTTGGCATAGCAGAAACAAAGGCGTGGACAGTGGTGAGGAGCCCACAGGAAGGGTAACAGGGCTGAGAGGTCAGGAGGACGACTAGACCCTGTACACTCCAAGCAGAGGGACGGGTTTTCCGTCCCCTCCTGGTTTTCTCTGAGAGAGTTCCCAGTGGAAACCCAACACTTCCCCCCCCCCC